TGCTGCTTCCATCCCTCAAGCTCTGCACCTGTTATGCCTAGCTCCTTAGGGTTGAGCTTAGGGTCCTCACCATCGGCCGGCGCCCGAGAAGGTGCTTCAACCTCCTTGACACACAAGTCTTCACCCAAAACCTCCTCCTCATCATCACAATCAAGATCACTTTCTACCTCAAAGGCCCTGCGTAATGCCTGGCCCTCCCAATCCATCTCCAGAGGTTCAACCTCCACGGAAGGAGCATCAGTGGTGGGAGGCTCACAACAGGCAGACTGCCCGTTCAGGTGAGAAGATATCTCTCGGTCAAGAGTTTCACACGAGGGCCCTAGGTAGTTCCCAGACAGCACCTGAACCAAGGCCGTACGCAGGTGAGTCGTCCAGGCTCTTCCCCCGGGGGGAGCCAAAGGGTTGCCACGAGGTTCAAGGGAGGAGAGATAGCTTAGATCCAGATTGGTGATCAAGGCTGTTGGTCTCAAGTACTCATCTCCTAGCGCACCCTGAGAGAACTCAACTACCTTGGTTCCCGACCAGCTCAAGAATGATTCGGCGGCCTTGCCAAAACACGACGGGTGCTCTGCTATATACACTATTCCCCTGCCTCTGGCGACTGAAGCTAACGACCACAGGATCATTCCCTGGGCCACCAACCTCCTTACCTCGTCGGTGCTGCCAGCCGGAGGGGTTGAGAACAGAGCTGCAATCCGGCCCTGCGAGGCAGCCCAGAGAAGGACCTTCCAAACTCCGTTCTGACTCCTTAGATCCCAGCCCTTTCCGCCAGGCTGGCGAAGATCCACGCTGAGGACAGGCATTCCCCTTTCATCTGCCCACTTACTCAAAGGATCACCCCTGTTAGGAGGCCCGCTACACAGGTGCACCACCCACTGCTTGGAGTCAAGGAGACGTCGTCTAGTGGCCCGTTTCAATGGTAGCCGCTTCAAGAGGGTCCTTGCGGTATCAGAACTTCCATTGGGAAATGACTCTGCAAGTTCAACCCTGGCCTCATCGGGCAGTGCCTCCAAGTAAGGCTGCGCGAGGAACGCCCTAAGCGCATCCACACGGGTGCCAGTGTCAACAAGCGAGCGCAACGCGCCCGTAGGATCTGGGCACTGATCAAAGGCGCTCAGTTGACACTCCAAATTCTGCACTCGTTGCCTGAAATGATCTACCCGTTGGTCCTCAAGTTCGGCAATCAAGCGTAGGGCTTGGGATTCTTCCACATAGGGGCAGGTGTTCTTAGAGATCTGGGTCTTAAGCACCCCTAGCGTAGGGTGTACGACCCTTAACCCCCGTTTCTTAGACCAGCTCACCTGGCAGCCTAACGTCTCAACCAGGGCTCCTAGTGGAAGGATCGTCTGTGAAGACTTAGGAGTTGCAGGCTCTTGGCTTGGCGGGATTACCAAAGTTCCCCCTTCCGTTCTTAGCCACTCTTGCCTCTCATCACCGGCTAGGGTAACTGGTACAGGCTCAAGGTTCCTTAGCTTTTCATGGAAGGAGATCACCGCATGCGTCGCCCCACTATCAAGCAAGGCAACACCTCCAGCCCCATCATCCTTAGCCTGAACCCTAGTTTCAAAGATCTCAACCGCTCTCTTCAAGGCATCCAACTGGGTCCTAAGTGCGCTCACAGAGATCCCAGCACTCATCCCGGGCTCCTTAAAGGGCTCGCCCAGACCGTCGGGACCCTTAATCACTTTAACCTCTGGATCTCGCGACAGCCCTCGGAGAGTGTCCAACTGAGCACTCAGGGAAGCCAGCGTGACTGGCGTGCCCTGAACAGCCGCTGCAGTAGGCGCCTGGGGCTGAGCACCAGAAGGCTGTGCTGGGGTTGGGGTAACCGGAACGGTCAGAACCGGCTCTGCCCCGGCGGACTGCGATGTAGGCATTGACTGCTGGAGTATCCAGGCTGCATCAGCTAGGAGGCTCTTGATCTGTTGCTGATTCGTGTCACCTCCCGGCGGGGGTGGAGGAGGAACACTAGGGGGGTTAGGGTTGGACTTAGGCCCACTAGGTCCCTTGGCTCCCTTACCCTTACCCTTAGCTTCATCCAACTTTGTGCCAGCCTTACACTCAGCAGACTTGTGGGTTTTAGACCCACACACCTTGCATCTTGCAGCCTTCTCAGACGCCGAGAATCCGTTCCAATCATGCTCGTAGGTGCAATCCGCTCCCTTCTTACAGCCATTATGTCCAACGTAAAACGTACACGGTGTCTTAGTGGCGGAGCCTGGTTCTTGAGAGCCTGCCTTGGCATTGCTCGGCGCCTTTGGGGGGCTCTTGGGTGGTTTCTTAGGCGGGGGTGGATTTGGATTAGGGGCCTCCACACCCTTCACCTTAGCCGGAGCCTGTGGTGGGGGGTCTCGCGTTCCCTTATCCTTATCACCCCTATGTGCAATGGCCTCCAACTCCCCAAGGAGTTGAGCGTGCAGCTTTCGGACCTTCTCGTCGTCCGGATTCAGGTCGATTTGGAGTGACGCCCTCGCGAGATTCACACGGAACGCCACTTCGGGGTTCTGTTGCAGGACCGTTTTGGTCAGCTTGCTCAAGGCTCTAACCTGAAGGGAGCTGTCCGGGAGCTTACCACCGAGTTCAGAGATTCGCGAGCTCCACCTCTGCCAGCGCCGCAGCCCTTCGATCGTTTCTTGGATTGAGGAGCACGGGGCAGGGTCAGTGATATTTTTAAGGCCTAGTTCGCGCTCGGTGATACTACCGGGGCCGTAGATTATGAATAATCGGCAGACTAGTGGAAGTAGCCCGGACACCCGGGAAGCACTCAACTCGTCCTTTATCGCCTGGGGCGACGCCGCTATTATCATAGTCTCGATCCTACGAGCCACACGGGTCCACTTGGGTTGTGCTAACTCATCTGAAGCCTTGGGTTTTGCCGTGAGGCGAGCTAACGGATCTAGCTTCAAGTAGTTAGCATACCACTCCTTGGCCTCTGCTATGGTCGTGGTCCACAAAGACTCCGAAGTATCCGAAATGTCGGCTAACGCGGGTTTCGAGGCGTGCAACCAATCCGCAAAACTCAAGCAAGACTCTGGCCCATGTGGAGGCAGCTCAGGGAGGCTAACCACTCCTGGTTTTATAACCTCGGGTTTCTGGGTGTTCTTAGGGCTTGCCATTTCCTGAACAACACTCTGCAACTGCGCCATCCCGCTCAAAACAACGGTCATAGGATCCAAACCCTGTGCTCCTGGCCCTCCCTGCGAGGGAGCTGCCTCCGGTGCTTGAGCGATCGGAGGAGCCTCCGGTCCTGCCGTGGCCACACATGCACGATCCAGGGCACTTCCTGGTCCAGCGGCTGGGAAAGGCTCAGGATTAGGGCTTCTTAGGGAACCAAGAAGGGGCTCATGTGGCGGTTGTGGAGGGACTTCATACCTAGGCTGGGCCCTGGGCTGATCCTCTACAAGACCTCTACACGGTCCCGATCCTAGGTATCCTAACTCCCGTTGGGTAGGGCCTAAACCGAAGTTAGGGTTACTAGGCGCGGTAGGGTATGTTGCAGGTTGATGAGCTGTTCCACCTGGCAGTTCTTGACCTAACAGGGCTCTCGGGGCCGACGGAGGTGGAGGAACACCAGAGGCAATAGGGAGAGGAGGCGGTAACGGCTGAGGAGCCTGAGGCGTGCCCGAATCCAGGGCTCGCTCAGGTCTGGGATGGCCCATTAGAGATCCCAATCCTCTTCCTAACCAACCAAATCCAGGAAACCCCGTAGACTGCCGAAAAGGATGCATCCCTGGCTGGGGCTCAAACTCAGCCCTCATTCTCAAACTCTGGTTCTCCATGGACAACGCCTCCACTTGGGCGCGGAGCCTTCGGCTCTCCTCGTCCCTTAAAGCCATAATTTCCGTTAGTTGTCTTCTAACCTCGGCTTGTAGCTCACTAGACGACGTAGATGGAGGTCTGGGGCCCTCTCGCTCATAGAAACCCCTCTGATCCACTGGTTCCGCTGACATGCGTGGTCCGGCAAATTCCAGCGAGGCCGCTGGATAGAGCAGCGGAGCAGCTTCCTGCATCTGCTGCATTCTCACCAGAGTAGGCACGTCGAACAAAGGATCAGATGGCGTAGGTTCCGGCGGCGGAGGCGGTAATCCCCGCTCAGCCGAGGATCTCACCGAAGCGTACTCCACACTGTCATGTTGGGCAGGCGTTCCTGGACCAGAGCGTCCTCCTGTAGACCTCGCCACAAGATTCTCCATGGTCGCCGGCAAGGTTTGCACCGCCCTTAGGACACCCGTCAAAACTCCGGGTTGAGCAGATGGTCTTGGCCCATCCTGACTTGGCGCAGCAGGACTACGAGGTCCCGGCAAGGCAGCTGAAAGGCCGGATGCCGGAGCTCGCAAATCCGCCACAGGATTCCGCTGGGAATCCGCCCCAGACAGACCACCAAAAGCTGAAGCCACTTGAGTTCGACCCGTGCCGGGAGCTGCATCGCCCACCGCACTGGGAGCCTCACGACCAGTCATATAGTAGTTCCGGCCGTCGCGGCCACAACTTCATCATCAATATCCTGTGAGCCCCTCAAGGGGTTCTGAGTCCCATTCATCAAGGGTCTCCCACACTCGTTGTCATTCTGCGTAGCGGTAGCGCTAGCAGTAGCACTTGGGCGTATCATAACCTGTTGACGTACTGGTTCATCATGAAGGTTGGGGTTGTTCGCACTATCAGCTGCCATAGTCGAGGATCTTCTCAAGGCGTTCCAGAAAACTAGTTCAGAGAACTGGCGCAACCGACCATGGGCTCACGACTGATTCACTTTTACGCGCAACAACACATGTCGAAGCTGTCTGTCCTCAGGACTAGAGCTTATGCCTGTTCACTAGGCTAGCTTGACTCGTGTCTGCTGGCTTCTGCCGATCATGGCTGAGCTCAGCTCTGCCTGGGCCGTCAAGGCTGTGCGGACGTGCTGGCCTGCAGTGGCTTCAACAATCCCTCATAGTAAGCCTTATAGGACCCCTTGTTTATAGGCCCCTCTAGTAAGCCTGGGTTTCTTCTGCTCTTTCCAGGAGATCTCTGTTCCCAGCCGCACGCCGAGCGAGCTGCTCAGCGAAGTGTCGCTGCGGCCCGAAGATGCCCCTAGGCTGTTTGAGGTTTGGGGTTGGGGGGTTTACTGGGATTGAGGGTTTTAGGGTTTAAGGTCCAGGTTTGAGAAAAAGGGCTCTACAAGAGCCCCCCAAGAGCCCTTAAAGAAGCCTTAATTAAGGCCTCAGTAATGGGTATTTGGAGTATGCTAGAGGGTAGTTGGGTGGGGTCTAGGAGAGCTTAAGGTTTGCTTATGAATACGTCAATGAAGGTTCGGGGTTTAGGTGACAACTTTAGGGTTGGGGGGTCAGGGCTCAGGGTTTCGGGTTTATTGAACTGCATTGTTTGGGGTCGCAGGGTTTAGGGGTTTGTGTTAGGGTGGGTACAGGTTCAAGGGGCTTGGGTTTTGTGCTTTTGGTTTAGAGTCTAGAGTTTACTGTTTACAGTTTCGTTTCTGTCACCCCCTCGGTTGCATCCCTCGTGAAATGCGAAGGCTCTGCTGTTGAGAAGTGCTTGCTGGCACACGACCCAAGCCCATGCTAAAAAAATGGTTACGGTTTGGAGTCCATTGTTCGCGGTTTTGCACGAATGATGAGCTTTCTAGGGGCTTGCAGGGTTTTGTCAAGTTTGAGGGGTTTAATAGTTGGTAGAGTTTATGGGGTGTACCAGGCTTCGGGGTTTAGCGGCGACCCTATAGGGCCTCAATAATGGGGGGTTCTTTATTCTAGCTATAGTATAACATACGCACCCCCCCCAACCCCATTCTAATTATTAAGACCCCTACATTGTAGTACCTTTGTAGATCCCTTATACTAACCCTTATTGGCCCCTTAAAGAAACCCTATGAAACCCTATTCTAAAAATTACTAGTACCCAGAGTAGGCGCTTATTCCCTTTTTTAGGGTTTAGGTTCCCTTATAACTTATACCACCCTTTAAACCAAAAAGGGCACCCTTTTCATTCCCAGGCTACTCCGAGGTCTAGGTAAGACCCCTACGTTGCAAAGGTCAGCATTCTGGCAGTCGATGCTGAGGGCTTCGACGATGCCATCGTTCCCCGAAAGGGAAGGGGAAAATGGGCGGGTTCAAAAAAAAAAAAAATATATATATATATATATATATATATATATATATACACATACACATGAAATCAATGTCAAAATGTATATATATATATATAGATATATATATATATATCCTTGTAAGACCCTCAACCGGAGGTTGAATTACTATTTCAGAGGCCCTTGAAACAGTGCCGCGATGTAAGGCTAACACACTGGAGACTCGTGGACCATTGACGTCCCAATTCTCCACACAAGCTTGTAATGGAGCCCTGGGCCCGGATTCAGTGTTTAGGCCCAAAAAGTGAACCCTAAATTGATATATATATATATATATATATGTCATTTGAAGAAGGGGAAGTTGTTTGTCGGGTCATCTGTCTACACTGAGTGTTTGCCAGTACACAGGGAAAGGAACAGAGTTCCACGTTTCGCTCATCCTCTGACAGTGCATCCGGAAGCCCACATGAAGCTCCACCGCCAAATTCCAAAGCCACAGAACCTGAACGAAGCAGGCCAAGCCGTTCTTGGCACTTGATTCTGAGTCTCTGCACTTTCAGAGGGCTGCCGCAAAGGCCGTAAAACCCTTAAACCTAAACCTCTGCTCACTCCCCACTGTTGGTTGAGATACTGTGGACTATGCCTGCCTTGTGCGAGTGTGAGCGTCGAAACCCTTAAAAGCAGCCCCGAAGCCCCAATCTCCGTGTGGTGAGGCCTGAACAGTGCTGTAGGGGCTTGTCCGAGTGTGAGTGTCAAAAAAACCCTAAGGCCTAAAACCCTAAACCCTCCAGTAAACCGCAACCCCCTAAAACCCCTAAGCCCTAAACCCTAAACCCCAAACCCCTAAACCCTCAACCCCAAACCCCTAAACGCTAAACCCCTAAACCCCTGAACCCCAAACCCCTAAACCCCCAAACCCCAAACCCCTAAAACCCCCAAACCCCTCAACCCTAAACCCCCGACCCCTAAACCCAAAAGGTACGTGCGTTCTTGGAGCTCCCAGGTTTCCAGCCGAGGCGACCCCCTCCGGACTGAGGAAGCTCCATGATAAGGTGTGGGTTTAGTGTTTTAGGGGTTCAGAGTTTATTGTTTTAGGGTTTGAGGGTTTCAGTTTAGGGTTTGAGGGTTTCAAGGTTTAGGGTTTGAGGGTTTTACGGTTTTTAGGGTTTGCGGGTTTCAAGTTTTCAGGGCTTTAGGTTTTGGGCCACCTTTAGTTTGTGGTGTGAGTGTGTAGAGTCAGTGCGTTTAGGGTTCAAGGTTTTGCAGGGCTTAGGATTTAGAGTTCCTTTTCGATCGAAGTGTCCAAAGATCTGTTTAATCTATACTATTGAGCTTTTGAGTTTGAGACAGTAGCAACATTGAAGCTCTCATTTTGGCCACTTTGTCTTGTATTACAGGATCTTAACCTTTTCGCTACACCCGAGACTGTGGCTGAAGCTGTAGCCTGTCCACGTCTAAGGTTGACAGTTTGAAGACGAACGTTTGAATGACATGGAACAAAGAGGTATCAGGTACTGGTACTAGCTTGAACGGCTACGACACATGAACTTATGAACGCCGTGAGGCTGATCACGTTCGAGGTTGCCCACATGCATGCGGCTGGGAAGGACTGCGGTTTAAGTGTGGGCTCTACTTGTAGCGGTCTAGTCTAGGGGTCGGAGTAAATCGTAATGATAACGTAATGAAGTAGACTTGGATATTATAGAAGTTTTCCTTCGTAATTAGCCTCTATACTTTGATCAATACCATAGAAACAGTCTAATATGTTCTAATCATACAGGCCCTTAGATCATCGTTCGACGGCAGTTCGGCTCTCGCAAGTCAACTTTAGGGGCTTCTAGTATACGCTACAGGTAGTCACACAGGTCACCAAGCAAGAAGTGCGGTCTGACTTTCTGTTATGCCAAAATTAAGCTGAATGTGGAGCGAAGAGCTCGTCGCATAGCGCAGTGGTGCTGTGCTGTCGTGGAGCAGTTCCTGGGAAGCTTTCCCACGGAATGGGTATCCGCATTGTGCTCCGGTAGTCTGGTTAGCTGCAGGCTCTAAATTCAGATCACGTCACTGCTCACTATAGTCGGCATGTGGGTCAGCCCAGTGGCAGCAGCATGCTCGTTGTTGGGAACATCATGAAACGAGGCCGGTGATGATGATGTTTGTGTTGATGCTGCTGCCGGTGTCGGTCAATGCTGGTTTAAGATGTTGCCGGTGCTGCTGATGGCTGTTAGCAACTGTTAGCATTGTCATTTCCCGGCTTTTGCCCTTTATTCTTAACAACTTGATCTTCAAGGCACCCCTGTCATGATAAGTTTTGCTATGACAGATACTGCCGTATTTAGTCTTTATCGGCCCAAGTGCCTTTTTCAGGAGCAGATGTGTCTCCTTCTGGCCGCGCGAGGCTCGGACCCGTACATTGACCTTCCTCCAGAAACATCCTTTTCATACAAAGCAGCACGACATGCACGATGCCCTCAACCCAGAGACTCCAATATCCCTTAATTCAGGAGTATTCCTTAAATCATATTAGGGATCCTACTATAAATTAAAGTATATTCCTTAATTAAAGGATATTGGAGTCTCTGCGCAACCTGGAACTCCATTGACCGGGCCCTGAAAACCGTGTGCCCGAAAGCGTGGATGCCTTGAGAGGCTATAGCACTGCCTGGGCCAGCACTGACATGAGTATGAACGGGCGTGGTGACCTCGTCGCCTGGCAGTGACCTGTAGGGCCAAACCACTCAGCGAGGAAGTAGGCTTCTGAAGTCCAGAAACCCTAAATGTGTTTGATTGCTAGAATTCACATGCTCTTTGAACCAGTTTAAACCCATATGGTTACATGCTCAGGTTTGCTACCCCCCCCAATTCCCACGCAAACGAAACTTGGTTATCGCTGCGTGTGGCGGACTTCCAGCCTTCTCCTTCGGCTCGCAAAAAAGGAATTCGATTGCTCCTGCCGGGTTCTCGATACTTCCGTGCTCCTGTGCTTCGAAGCGAGATGTTGCTGGCTTGGATTTCGTGGGTTCAGAATTGCACCCTGCGTGCTGAAGGTGTTGTTCAGGGTTCAGGGTCATGTGTTTGAACACGGGGGCATCGATGCATCTGGGCATAAAGCTGCCCGCTGCTGTCGTAAGCGCATACCCCGCTAGGCACGTGCCGAGCCTCCGCACCAGAACCCTCCAATCCTAGGCCAGGCGATTTAGAGCTTAAGGGTTTGGCTTTTTTTGGTTTTTTTTGCTAGAACTCAGGCTCATAAACCCTCAACTTAAGAAGCTTGAATCCTCCGCTGTGCTTTCCGGAGCCCTCGGGGCTTGTTGCCAAGTTCGGTGATGCCTCTGAAAGATTCTCAGGTTACGGTTTGGGTTTCTTACTGCCTCTGGTGCCATAGACATGTAAGACGCACGAGCAAGCAAGCCCCTGGTCTTCGTTTTGGAGGAGCTGGAGTCGCAAGTTGCGGATCGGATGCACAAGGCAGGGTTTCCTACCATGCACTTTGCTTGTACTATCAGTGTTTACCCCTTTTTTGAGCGCAGACTCGAGCTGTATGCCGGCCGGTTAAACCCTAAGCCCTAAACCCTAAAGTGAAAGTTTGGTACTTCACTCATGGCATGGGTTCTGTAGGTACTGGCAGTAGTGGCGCTAGTAGTGAGTGGTGATCGTAGTAGAAGTTGCTGTAGGAGAAGCATCAGCTCCAACCGTAGTTGCGTAGTGAATCACAGAGTTCCCAAGGAGTGGAGCACCGAAAACTCTTGAAAACGAAGCGTGATGTAGTTTGGGCCCATAAGCGCGAAAATGGATTTATCAACGTGATTTAAGCTTTTCTGCATCGTGATCACCGGCGGAACACAGCTAGAGTAAGTAGACATACCCAATAGCAGCGCGAAGCCTCACAACGTCGGCCTCAATGCCCTGGACCTCCTCGCAGCCAACATTCCCCGTCCTGACCTCCACCCCCACCACCACCACCACCACCACCACCACCACCACCACCACCACCACCACCTCTATTCTCACCATCAAAGTGACGACCGCCTCTGCCACCGCCACCGCAACACCACCGGCAGCACCAGCACCACCGTCAGCATCACCATCCTCGTCATTGATACCATCGTCATGGCCAGTTTTTTCCTCACGATCCATATCTTCACGACGAGAAATGGGTCGGAATGGTCATTACGAAGAGTGGCATATCCCCACAAGCCCGAGATAACTATACTGCGAATATGGGTCAAAACCCTATTCACTTGTGAAGGTCTTATTACCACGCATGTGTTTATGCTTGCCGCCCTTGAGGCCATAGACGCCATGCCGAGAAAGGAGGAGTACACCCTGCGGAAAACCCAGGAGCTGTCAGATTCTCAGCGACGGATGACTTAGTGACTCGAGTTTTGCACCTTGTCTATGTCAGTGTTATCTGCAAGGGCTATAAAAAGGCTTTTGGAACATGCCTCTTTCGACAATCAGCAGAAAGGTACGGTTTGAACGCACAGCGAAGTGGAGAGGGGACATGGCAGTGCTGCATCTCTTGTGACCGGACTGATGGTTACTCCGTTTGTAGAGCCCGACGCGACGAGACTGGATCCAGGCACTCACACATGTCCGGAGACTCGTGTGGCTGAAACTCAGTCCAACTGTCGCGGACAAAGACACTGTGTGCTGCCAGGCCCGTGCACACTTCTGCCAAACTTGTCGCCTTACTCGCAAGCCTCCGCACAAAACTGTTTTTGCGAAGTGGAGTTGTCGCACACTGCCCCAAGCCCTCGCAGCATCGAGTTTACAAAACAGAAATGGTCAAAGATCTGCGTTGTGTGGGCAACACGGTGGAGGCCTGCTTTCCGGCAGATGTGCTGCATGGTTACTGAGTACCAAGTGTGCTCGAAACCATCACCTCTACCGGCGCTTCCCTACAAGCCGAACCCTAAACCCCAAACCCTCCTCTCCTCTTCGACCCCTCAACTACCCTCTAATATCCCCTAAATACCCACGATTAAGGACGATAAGGGCTCCCTTAAAGGGCCATTGGGGCGTCTCGTCTCGGCCCAAAACCCAAGACTCCAAACCTCAGGCGCGCATGCAGCAAGAAGTCCGAAGAGGCCGTTGCACGCTTGCAGAGGCGTGGTGGTGGTGCGTCAATGTTCGGAGAGTGCCTATAGTCCTCGCCTGGATTGTCCGACTTGTGAGTGCGGAATCTGCGAAAAGTGCAGAATTCGATTTGGTCCGGGGGTTGTGGAGTTTAGGATTTAGGGTTTTAGGGTTTAATTGAACTGATGGCATAATGTAAGTGATTAGTGTTCGGTAGGGTTCCTGAGTACAGTTATGCGATTCTTACGCGCCCCGAACCCTTTTTGTGATTGTTCAGGCCCCCATAGTATGGAATCGGGGCTCTGCCTTGAAAGACTGATGAAAGCTTAGATTTCATGAGAAGTGTCGTTGAAAAGCCTCTGAAAGTTTGGCTCTTAGCGAGAATCGACATCCCACCAATCACACCTTCGCCCCCTTCAAAAGCAAGTACAAGTTTTCGCTCTGAGAGTCTGAACCCACAGAGATTAACCGGAAACAGACGCAAACCCAACATAAACGCATTTCATCCCTGCAAAGCCCTGCATCACACCCTGTGAAACCCTATCCAACCCCCAATGAAACACTGTTACAGAATTCAACCTCAAGTAAAATCTTACAAAGCAACAACTGCATTGATACCCCACCCCCCTCCGCCGCCTTACCCTATAAAACCACTTGAAACCACCCTAACTCCCCAAACCCTCAGCCCTTAATGAGCCCTGAGCCCTTTCTCCTAAGTAAGAAGAAGGCAGCGAGAGGCTCTCTTGGACTTGACGTGGGAGCCGGGATCAGGCAAACTCCGGTCAAGGGATTCGTATTTAGGGCTTGGGATGTAGGGGTTTAGGGTTAGGAGGGTTAGGAGGGTTAAGGGTTTAGGGTTAGGGTTGGTTACGAGGGTTTAGGTTTTTGGGGATTCAACTGTGAAGAGTTTTGGATTGTTTGGGCTGGGGAAATGTCGCAGTAGAAGGGTTTGGGGAAGGTGTATGGGAGCTCAGAGTTTCGATTCATTCTGGGGATTCTGGGGTTCTGTGTTAAGATGCAACGGGCATACAAGTTCCGTTTTACAGGCCGTACATCCTCAACCGAGTGTAAAATCTCGACCGACTCCTTTCAAAAATGCCAGATTCGATAGTAACACAAAGCACTTGCACTGCCTGCCGCCTTGTGGCGGTGCACTACATAGTCCGACGACCACTACTAAGCAAAACTGATGACGACGACGATGACTAGCATGTTGTAGAGGTATAAGGGTAGACGGTACATGGGTCGAGGAAGGTTCAGGCTGGGATGGTTTCACAAGTAGACGCCACCAAGCCAATACTGTTGCGGAGACTGAAGCAAGTAACCAGGGCTTTCATACCCTGATGCTCTGGAGCGTAAAGCCCAAGATGCGGCCTGCTTGAGTGAGCCCTGTTCCCCCCTTCACTCTTTCAAGCACTGCCTGCGAGGCCGCATGAATCAGCTGGAGTACAACTCACGATGCCGGGAGGTGGAACATTGCATCCTGGTGTTCAAGCAAGCAGTGGAAGGTGTAAATTTGGGCTTAGGGCGTAGAGTTAAAGATTTAGGTTGAGCAAGTGGGCCTCAATGAGCTGTGAGAAAATCGAGTCTCCCTTTGTTTGTTGTTCATGTCCGGTTCTTTTGGTCGTTCAAGGTTCAGGATTTTTTAGTCGCCCTTGTGTAGAAAACCATCGTACACGCAATCTTATTCCAATTATTAAGGCCACTGAGCTTTGTGCCTTGGGTTTAGGAGCACTCTGTGCACATGTCTTGTGAGTAGCGTCATTCTCAAAATCAAGCCCGAACCCTTATGGACTCAAACTCCCAAACCCTCTACCAGACCGATGAAGCCGTGCCTTCTTCGTGCAAGTGCGCGTGTCGAAACACTACATGTAAGGCCTAAACCCACCTATAGTCTCCATTGTAGTTCCTCTTTGGGGTTACCTTATAGGATCGTTAATATATAGGAACTACAATGGAGACTATAGGTAGTTACCCCCATAGGAGTTTCCGAAAATCGGGGACCCTAATACATTACCCTTAGAAGTAGGATCCTTGCTATAAGGACCCCAAAATAAGGTATAGGCAGTCCCCGAAGCTCTTCGCAGAGAACACGCGGCGGTCCGAGGTCGCATGGGTGAGAGCCCTGGCGGAACCACCTTGGAGGAGGCAAGCTGAGATTGGTTTTAGCTTTTAGGGTTTAAGGTGAAGTTTGCAGGCCTCTCGTGATGAGATGGTCACGTTTGTGCCGGTCTTGCAGTGCTTCCCAGCTGATCGGCAGAGTCTGGGTTCAAAAAAGGGTTTAAGGGATTTAGGGTTGTGGGTTTGCTGGCAGGCACACAATCCAAGCCCATGCTGAAGAAGGGTTCTGGGTTTAAGGGGTTGAGGGTTTCGGGTTTCGGAAGGAGCGTTGAGGCCTTGAGGATCCAGAGCTTGGCGTTTTGAGGGTCTCGGGCTTCAGGGTTTGAGGGTTTAAAGGGCGCCTTCAAAGGTGTTTTTGGGGTTTAGCAATCGAGCCACCAACGATTTCGAAGAGACGGTTGAATGTTGGCAAAGTACCGAACAACATCCATGCGTCGCCCTTTCGAGCGCTGCTGCTCCAAGGCTTGAAGTGGACATGTTAAACCGAAGTGAGTTATCGACGATTAACGACTACGAGTAT